TTAGTTTACTTAAATATCACTAACTTTCTAGGCTTATTTTTCACTTCTTCCTGACACAAATCCTATTCTCTACACATGGAATGCCTTCAGCTTGTATTTTCCTTTCAGAAACTATATTCCAAAATTCACCAGTTTCCAACCCTCCAATTTTGCTTTTTCTTGTTCTTTGTTCCCACCCCAATCATGTGACTTTTTTCTCCCATTTTTGAGTTTCGCAGTATATTCTATACTTTTGAATTTAATTAAGGTTATTTGTGTCCATCTAATCTACTGATTTTCTTGTAAGCTTCATGAAGTTTAGAAGAAAATTAATTTTCATAGTGCATGTTATTTCTTTTTTGTTTTCTTTTTAATAATGATACTTTTCTCTCTCGTTTCTGCCTTTCGGATTTAACAAACACCTATTGATCAAATTTTGTTTGTTCAGGCACTGTACTAGATGTTTCTTGTTATATTCTAAATATATTCTCATATTTAGTTATATTTAATCCTCAGAAAAACTTACAGCATAGATATTGCAACTTGTATGTACAGGAGATCTTCAGTATCCAAATGTACATTAATCTTAGAAATACATGGCAAAGCAAAAGTTCCCAAACAAGAACAGATTCATTGCCCAGCCCAGTAGTACTTGTGGTAGACACATGGAGGCTGAAGCCACGTGGGAGACCTGGTTTGATACCCATACTAAAGTCCATGCGCAGTGGCTATGCTGAGGCTGAGGCAGGAGGACCCCCAAGCTTATGGCCAGCATGGGCAACATAGCATGACCCTGTTTGAAAAAAACAGGCATGGTGGTGCTCACCTGTAGTCCCAGCTACTGAGGAGCCCAAGGCGGGAGGATAGCGACAGAGAGAGACTCTGGAAAGGGGGGAACAATGTGTTCACTAGTGAACTGATCATTTATGAAATTGTACTCCTCTCACCAGCTCTGCTTGTTTAACTAAACTGTTACCTATCCCATGCGTCACATGAACACCCTTCTTTGTCACTTTCTTGCTAACAACGTAGATACAGTTAAAACTAAAATGAAATCGTAAGTTTTGCAAAAGATGAAAAACTTCATGAAATCTGTTCAGGTGCAAGAGAATAACTTCACTCACCTATAAAATTGTTTGCAGATGAGTATCCAACAAAATGAACAATTAGAGAAAAAAGATGACTCATAGGCAAGCATTTCCAAAAAGAATTTGAGTAACAATAAAGTGTCCTTTGAAAGAATCATTGAAGTCTTCAAAACAAAAACGACCCATTTATGATCATGGGGTGAATTTCAAAGTTGAAGGATGTGTCATTGTGGGGTCAGAAGAGGTCACCACACTGGTCCTGTAACCTGGTGGTTAAGGGAGCCGGATCCCACGTGGCCTGCCGCAGCTGGAATCCCTGTCCCAATAGGAACACGCTGGTAACATGTAGGCTGTGTGTACTTGTGTGTCCAGAGTCCCAGCAGGATGGGGAAATGGAGGAGAAGAAATTGCAATGTGACCACACTCCTTTGGGGAGTACTTTTTCCTCTCCCTGTCTAACCTGTCTCTGGTGAATACATGTATCCTCTGGCATTTAAAAAAATAATAAAATTAAATCAAAACATATTAACTAAATCCTTAACTATTTTTTTAAATGAACTAAATTTTGTAAATTTTAGCTTTGTATTTCAGATGAAGTTGCAATTAATCTATTTTTTCACCATTTACTCTGAAATATTTGGGCAGGATTTACTTTTTTTCAGAGATAGATTTCTTTTTTGAAGAGGTTTTTGCTATAGGGCGTGTGCGCTCGCCAGAAAGAGAGAGACAGAGAGACAGAAAGAGAGAAATCCCCCCCCGGAGGGATGGCCACACCACAATCCCTTCTCCTCCATTCTCCTCTCAGGATCTGGGGCATGCACGCGCATGCGCCCGGCGTGAGTTTAAGCCACCAGGTCTGGGATTCAAACCACGGTCGACTACATGGGAGTACAGTGACAGAGCCATTATGCTAACTGCTGGTCTCCAGAGAGATTTTTCCTATAGAAAGCATGTGTTCACCGGAGAGACAGACAGAAAGTGAGAAATCACCCACAGGGGGGATGGCCACGCCACAATCCTCCTCCTCCTCCATTCTCTCGGGATCTTGGGCATGCCTGGTGTGAGTTTTAAACTGCCTGGTCCATGACTCGAACCATGGTCTACTACGTGGGAGTCCAGCATGTAACTGCTATGCCATCTGCTGGTCCTGGATAGGTTTTAAAATAGGTTCCAGTACCCGTTTATCTACTTTTCACTTTCAGCATCGTATCAGGTTACCTGCATGTTGGCTCACATCAGTGCCTACTCTGGCCCTGTCACTCCCGTTTTTGGCAAACATATATTTAATTTCTAGTTTTTCTGGACCAGGAGGTGGCATGGAGGTTAAGGTGGCTGGATCCCACATGGCCAACGTGTGCAGTTCAGGTGTGAGACCCTGTGACTTGAAAATGATGCCAGATACATGTACATGTGCGCCCAGAATCCTGAAAGGAGAATAGAGAAGTGATTGTGGTGTGGTCATCCTCCCTGGGGGGAGCAAGGGATCCTTCCCTTGCGGTCTCTCTCTCTCTCTCTGTCTCTCTCCAGTGAGCACATGTACCCTATAGCAAAAAAAAAAAAAAAAAAAAAAAAATTTTTTTTCTCTATCATCTCCTTTTTCTTTTCACATTTTAAAATATTTATTTATTTTAATTTGACTGGAAAGGGACAGAGGAAGAGAGAGAGAGAAAGTGAGAAAGCAAGCCACCAGATCCAAGACTTGAACTGTGGTGGACCATGTGGGAGTCCAGCACCTTTAACTGCCATACCACCTACTGGGCTCTCTTTTCATATTTTTAACTTTGGTTCATTGTTTTATTACTGCATCCATATACCCCTCATAATTTTTCCCATTCTCCTTCTTTCTCCTTATTACTATTGTTCCTTTGCCTCATCACCAATATAGTAACCTTTAGGCTTATCTATTGTCTGCTACCTGGCTTGCCTTGCTATCCCTTTTTAATCCCATCTAAAATTCAGATTTGTTCTAGGTGTTTATTCCTTTATTCTCAGTACTTTTTTAAAAAATTAACATATAATGACTACATGTGTTTGCAGGGATACAAATGTGATTTTTCAATGCAAGAACACTGTGTAATGAGTAAGTCAGGGTAATTAATATGCTCGTCATCTCAACCATTACTTGGGAACATTCTAAATATTTTTTAGTCATTCTGAGATCTATAGTAGGTTGTTGTTAACTATAATCCCCTTCTGCATTTTATTTTATTTATGTTTTTAAATTTTGCTATAGGGTGGGCCAGCAGGTGGCATGGTGGTTAAGGTGTTGGAATTCCCACACGGCCGACTGCAGTTGGATTTGGGGAACTGGCAGCTTGCTTTCTCACTCTCCCTCTGTCTCTCTCTCTCTCTCTGTCTTTCTTTGGCAAAAACTCATATGAAAAATTAATTAATGAATTAATAGTAGGAAAAATCTTTGTTTAAAAAAAAATTTGCTATAGGGTACGTGTGCTTGCCAGAGAGAGAGAGAGAGAGAGAAAGCACTTCCCAGGGGAGATGGTCACACTGCAATCCCTTCTCCTCCACTCTTTTCTTGGGATTTTGAGCATGCACACACATATGCCCAGTGTGTTTTTTAAGCCACTAGGTCTGGGACTTAATCCTTGTAGTCAGCCATGTGGGATCTAGCTGGCTTAATCCCATGCCACCAGCTGGCCTTCCTTCCTGTATTTTATAATACTAGAGAGTGTTTCTCTTGTCTATCTGTAATTTTGTTTCCACTGATCAGTATTCTTCTTTTCCCTTTCCCCATCCTTTACAGCCTCTAGTTATGATTCTTTGTCTTTCTACTTCAGTAAGGTCACTTTTTTCAATTTTCCCCAAGTGATATTTTTCTTTCTGTGCCCATTTTATTTCACTGAACATAATGTCCTCCAGAGACACCCACTTAACTTTAAATGACAGGTGTTCATCCTTTTTAATGACTGAATAGTATTCTATTGCTAAGTACTTTTTTTTCTTTTTTCTTCTGATAAAAAAGTTTCTTGTCTTTGAATTATTTCATTCTTCCTTCTGAATACTTATATCTCTTTACTCATGGTGAGAAAGTTGGTGTTATCCAGAACCTCTGTGTACTATAAAAACTCTCCCTGCTATAACCAGGGGGATGAGGTAAGATCTAAACACACTTTCTTAAAGAAAGTCTTCTTTCTGTTTTTCCCAGTGTATCCACTTATTACACCAAGCCACTTTACCTTGCTAGTTCATCCTGTAAACCTCTGCAAGCTGGTGTATTTATTTCTGTCTCTTCATTTACTGCCAACTCATCAGTGGGTATATACCAGTGAAATCGGACAAGACAGTTGCTAATATTGTCATAATAAACCTAAACTTAGGGTATGTTTTACAAAAGTATGGGAAGAATATTGGGAGGTCTTGAAAGAAAAATACCTATTCTTATCAATGGGTCTATTTCTGCTTTCATAATTTAAAAAAAAAAATGTTAGCACTTAGGCCTGTTCTACAGTTCTATGCTTAATTATACCCCTGTTTTAGGGGGGAAAGGATAGGTTTAATCTAAATATGAAGGGAATACATTTTTAAGAGTCACAGATACTTTCTTAGAAAAAGCCTCTTAAATGTTTAAAAGCAGACTGAAATTAATATCTACAGTGTGTGATAGGAACATTGTGGCTGGAAACATGCAACTCTTCCAGTAGATTTTTCTCAGGTTTCAGTATTTCTGACTAGAGCATAAGTGTGATTGTTCATTCTTCCAGATTGGTACATTTCCCTTTCATGAGCTTTCTGTGTGGGTAAAAGGTAACTCAGAATATATATTTCTAATCTTTCTAAAAATGGAAACTTCATAAATCAGCGTTTTAGTAATCTCATGTCTGTGATTTGGTGAAAAGTAAAAAAAAAAAAAAAAAACACTTTGGAAAAATGTCTGTCTTCATATCCTCATTAGGAAACTTCTCTTTAATTTTGTAGTCAAATCAGAAAATTAATGCCCGTTGGACCACAGAGGAGCAGCTTCTAGCAGTGCAAGGTATATTAAAGATAAGCAGTTATTGTTGTTAATCATTATTTAACTTGTCATGGAGCTGACTACCGTAGTTCTTCCCTTCTTTTAGAAATGGATCAAGAAAGGGCTGTTGTGTTCACCACAAAGTCCTGGTGACCAGGAAATCTGTGTCATGTTTGTGGATGTGACATACTAGTCTATGTACATTTTGGGTCCTGAATAGCACACAATGCATTCTCAGTGCTGAGTAACTTGATGACAAGCTTGAACAAGTCATGCCGACTCTCTGTGTCTCTGCTTCAGTATTCCTGCAGTTGGGTTCATTCTTATTAGATCACTCACTGATAACTCGTAGTTAAAAGCATAAGTAAATTATGGTATGTTTCTGGTTTCGCTGATGACTCTGGATAATAGTTTTTCTGTATTTGGTAAATGTCAGATAGTGAAAATATTAACTACATAGTTAAGTTTCAGTGCATCATACCTTACTTAAGACATGTACCACACTGAATGCTTAGAAACCTGACTTTAAATGTATATGTATTAAAAAAGAGAGAGACTTAAGAGACATAGTAGAAAATGCACATGGAGCATTTTAAATGCACTATTTGTAAGAATGCTTTGTTGAATTACATGGCAGAAGAGTTTTTGTTTTATGACTACTCCTCGGAAATTGTAAGCATTATAAACCTGGATTTTCTCATGTTTGAATTAATTAAAGAAGGACAAATCATGTATTTTAAATCAGTGTTGTAGACTTTTTTTTCTCTTCAAGAATTGATTGTGTAATTTAAAGTTAGTCTACATTTTGTTTCTTCTGGCTGAGCCCTCTTTGTGTTGAGTACTAATAGCTTTATCTTGGTTAACTACTATGAGAAACGGGGACCCAGTGAAACTATATGTCCAGACTTTCTAAAATATTTCCAGATAGTCAGAGAATGTATTTAATACAAAAATGCAGTGCAAGCATCATTCAGATGATTTGAAACTAATATAATTAAAGATGGACTGATAAATGACTGTGCAGTTTGGAATAGAGGGAGTGAGTAGCCGGGGCCAGCACGTTTGCAAATGTCCCAGGAGGGTGCCAGCAGGATGATGTCAGCCTTCCCTTTGGCCTACACAGCATGACAGTCATTCTGTAAAGAGAGATTCTTGATGCTTTGGAGGCACTTCGAGCATCTGTAACTGTAGAACTGAAGTTTCCAAATAAGTCAGAATAGGTTTAGTCTGTTTTAATGTTCACTAATAAATGAATTAAAATGAGATCATTTTAATTTTTTAATTAAATTTAATTTTAAATCTGATCATTTAAATTTTTGTTTAAAAAATGAGTGAGCATTTTCAGTGGCTGCACATACTCATTGAGAACTAGGACATACAGCTGTAGTGTAGTTATTTTGAGTAGGCATTGCTTTTATTCACATAAAGCCTGCGTTTCTCCCTGTCATAATATATAGCCTGGTAAGAACTGAGCCCTGATTTCCAGTATTCAGTTGCTTAAAGGTTAGTATATTGATTCTGTAATCTAATATAAGAAATTATCCCAGTGAAAGGATTTTCTGAAGCTCTCCTAGGAAAATCTGAGCTGTTTTTCTATAGACAGTCCTCAAGGTTTGCTGTTGTCCTACGGCTCTACTGTAGTGGGACGGTCCATTGACTCTTATGGCTGTGTTGGACACTATGCCCTTCAAGGGAAGGGCAGCAGTAAGATTTGTGTATGTATGCTGCAAGCCATATATGTCAGCATATCTCGGCTTATAAATATTAAAAGAATATACCAATATATATTATCAAAGATTTCCTCAATACTAAGATATATTAAGTGGTATATTATGTACATGTAAAAAGTAACCTTTTAAATAAAGTACACCTCAGTTTATATAGAAGTATGGATGTTTATAGGATTTTAAAGGCACATTCTTAATGTGTCGATAGCCCTATTTATTTTGAATCTTTGTTTAAATTTCTCATTTTCATTTTGTTTTTATTATTTGTAGTTGAAAAAAAAATTGCTTGCGTCCAAAATAGTTATTTTAGAGAGAATTAAAAGTGCCATTTTGTTTCATATGCCCACACATTTATATAATGTGTAGAAGTGGGTCTTATAAACAGCATAATCATATAGTGATGTCATGTAGACCTAAATCTCAGTGTGGTTAAGGTACATAATTGCACTTTTAGCTTGTATAGTTTGCTATCCAGAAGTTTTAACCTTAGCAAGTAATTATCTTTTTAATTCTTTTTCCTTTTTCAAATCTTAATTCATGGTAAACTATGTGGAATTATTCTAATAATCATTTCAGTTTCACAAAGTAGTAGTAAATTACACTTTGACATATTAACATGTTTTAATTTATGTAACACTTTGTATTTGACATTTTATCCATATATTTTTATTTAACACTCATTTTTAAATACTTTGTTTTCTCTTGCTCATAATAGTCTGTTATAGTGACCTGGACAAAGAAAGACATAAGGGCTCTACTGCCCTTAGTGAGATTCCTAACTCTGCTAATTAAATAAGCTTGTCTTTTATAACTCATTTAAAACCGAACAAGCATACTAAAATAATTAGTTTTCTTTTTTAGATCTAAAGTGCATATTTCCCACCTTACTTTCTCATCCCATCTTCTCATACTGTCATTAACTAAGTGCTAACCATTTAAATAAATTTTCCTTCTTTCTCTTTTAATCGGAAGGAGGAAAATCATGCTCAGATCAGATAGGAATGTCCATACTTTCGTAATCTATCACTTCATTATGTTAATTCTTGTTCTGTGTTATAATTTTAGTAACATTTTTCAAGAGTCTCCAAGTGAGATAGCAACAATGCTGCTAATTTAATTTTTTTAAATATCTGCCAAAATAGTATTTACAATTTTTGTCATCTCTTCTAGCCTTAAGTTTCTAGAAAAACCTGCCTTGTTCATGGTTTACCCTTTTTTTAAAATTTAAAACAAATTCATTAACAGTGACACTAATTATGATCTTAAAAATTTATAACACCTATTTATGGTAACGGTAACATATTACCTCTGTTTATAGGTTGTGTTATGTATATATATATATATATATATATATGTACACACACACATTTCTCTAATCTATAATGCTTTTAGAAACTATCATGGAATCAGACTTGATATTCATATGATACAGTCCTTATTTAGTAAGCATTAAGAAATTAGGTGTACCTTTTTTTCTCATGTAAAATGGAATGATTATTACCTATTTTTAAAAACAATACACTTAAATGATAATACAAAGCACTCTTTGAGGAGCCGGGAGCATAATATATAATATCTGCCATTTTTATTTAAGAGGTGATACTTAGGTCACCTCTTATATGTATTAATTTCCTTCCCCACTAAACTTTGCTGTTTTATGATAAATAACAATAACGTTTTCAGTTTTGTCCCGATGTCAGCTTTGATTTTTTTTAGTTCTTTTTCATATTACCTGTCTTCTCGTATAACAAAAATTTGACTCAGCTGTTTTCAAGCACTTCATGATTACAGTCAAAGTTACCTTTATTCCTATAGTTTGTACATTCATTCCCTTAAAGAGAATTTGCAAGTATAGAAATCATCTTCTAATTTTATCTCATACTTTTAAAAAAGCTAGATTGGTTCATAAAGCAGGAGAAGTAGATTTGGCAGTTGATAAAATATGAGGAGGTAACTTACATGAGTGATCAAAAAGAAGTGGAAACAGGAGGCTCATACCTTTCCATCTGAAAGAAACTCTTTTTTTGTCTGAGCTATTTTTTTTCTTCTGTTGTAACAGATACCGTAAGAATGGAGTTTTGAAAGTACAGTTGCCTGCCCTCCGATGTACTTATTTCAAATAATTGATTCAAAGTTTCTAGCATTTTCCTTCTAATAAGGAAGATGGGAATTGAAGATCCAGAAGAGAATGGATAGACATTAGAAAGAAAATATATGATTTTGAATTTTAACCTTTGCCTATAAGCACCAGTCACCTTTTTGCTGCTGTTAATCATTTCTACCTCATTTATTACTGAATTCTTAAAGACATTTACAGGGGGTAAAAAGAAATGTCTGCTCACAGTCAAGTTTAAAATCTTGTTGATTGAAAAGAACCACATCCTTGGAGTTTCTAGATATCAGTGTATTCCTGTTATTTCAAAACTAGATTTTAAAAAATTAATATTTCCCAATGATAGCAAGTATGTGGCCACTGTAAGAAAGCTTGCTTTAAGAATCAGGAAAGAAAAATCCCCTCAAATTTCACTACCTAGAAGCCGCCTGCCATTGTGCATGTTTTACCCTCACTTTTTATTTTTGTAGTTAAAAATTCAGTTTTGAAAATAAAAACTTACTGAAAGCAGCTATTCATGCTATCTCTTCTAGCTAAAAAAAAAATTTCAGGCTCCACATCCAGAGTTGGAAATAACACATAAATCTGAAGTTACCATCTTACTAGCCAAAGCTCAAAAAATATGAATGAACTAACTCCACAAATTCAAAATGTATGGTAATTCAGACAGTGGTGCTAATAAAAATACCTTCTTTATCAAATTAGAAGTATAAACAAGAAATGTAAAAATACGTAAATGGATGTTTCTGTGTAGGGTAATACTGATTGAAAATGTGTGCATTCATAAAATGTAATGATAATAGAGTATCCTAATGAGTTATATTTTTTATCTTAATTCCTCCCCAAGTTTTTAAAGAATATATTAAAGATTACAAGGTATCATTTGCCAGCATAGAAAGCCAACTTGTTTCATTGTAACTTTCAAGTGAAATTTAGAAATTTAGCTGGAATTTGCCTGGGAAATTTATAATTTGCCTCTTTTAGGATTTTCTAATGTTTATTTCACTAATCCTAGAAAACCAACCGCTTCCCCTACAGGTGGGACTTTAATTTAGCAACTATGATTTGAGTGTACCTAAGCCTTTTACATCTTCAGGAGGAGAGTTAATTATTTAACTTCCCTGCTGAGAAAGCAATCAGATTGCTTTGTTTATTATAAACAATGAAAAAAAATGAACAGTCATTCCTCCCAGGTACAGTGTAAAACGAGGGTGGCTAAGGTAGTTGGTCTTTTGCACTGCTCCCTGCTAGGTTGTCCTCCAGACTAGCTGGGCGTTCGTCTCAAGAAGCAATCTCAGTACATCAGCTGCTGTTTCACTAGAGTTTGCCGAGCTGCTAGCAACAGAATAGAGCTGAAAGAACTCCATCTTCTAACCAAAACATGCTGTGAAGCAGTGTTGGGAGTACAAAGGTTGTAAAAAGTCAATTATATACGTTTCTTGTGGTTTCGGGAAGAAAATTAGAATGAAGCCTTACAGGGAAGATAAAACTATTTCCTAGGCATTTGCCGTGCATTTAGCATTGTAGTGCTGGTGCTGATTTGTGTTTCTTAGGCTAGTACTTCCCAACTTTTTCGCATATTGGTACACAGAACACACATTAAATTTGTCACTACATAGTGGGACAAGCAGATGAGGCTGATCCTGCTCAGAGGAACTGCAAGGAGTTCCAGCTACTCCATACCCTGTCCAGCCATCTTGCAGGCTGAGGGCATTAATATCTGGACACATTTGTTCTTAGGACACTGGGATCCTCACCTAAACTACAGAAGTCTACAGTGTAGTCTGAGCCTTAAGATTTTTTAAGCTGGTGTACATGAGACAATAATGAAATGCCTGGTTGGCTTAGAAAATGTTTTTGACCTCCAAAGTCTCTAGAAAAACTAAAGCACTTAGAGGAAGCAGTTTTACATTTAGGATCTGTAGTTTTGCAAATGTAACAATGTTGGTGACAAGGTAAAGTCCAGAGCAAGAGAAAATTAAGAAGTAGAAAATCAAAAGGAAAGTCAGAAAAAGAAGGGGCAGTAATAGAATGGAATCAGGGTTGGAATCCACTTAAACTTTTGGAATATATTTTGTAAAACAAGTAGGTGTTCTGAAGGATGTAGTATCTTCAGAGTTGGACTGAACGTTAGTCTTGACTTGGCTTCTTGCTAGGAATAGAGAAAATTTGATCCTAGGTTAGTGAAGGTCTTCATTTCTGAAATCATATATTCAGTAATCTGACCATTTCTAAAATGTAAATTAAGTATCACTTATGAAAACTAGTACACTGATAGAACACTATGTCTGGCTTCCAATTAGAACTTACTGTTTAGAGCAGCAATCTCAAATTTAAAATTTAGAAACAGCACTAAAACTCAGTCTTTTAAGGGTTGCTACTTTCTATAGTATTGAATAGTAGAGAAGTACTTGAATATCTAGTGATAACTCTGCAATGAAATAACCTTGGGATTTTTTTTTTTTTTTTCAAATAAGCCCTCACTGAAACCTAGTCACCATTAGAATTCATACTTAACTATGAAGCTAAAACTGGAGATAAACTCATTGACTTAAAAGGAATATAAATTCATTTATGATGATAAAAAACATATAAACAATATCATTATTACTTTATCATCATGCATTTGTCCTTTCCTTTGAGAACAGAGCAAATGATCATAGTTTACAAATCAAAAAATACATTTAAAATGGGATATGGTTTTAGAATATAATGTCAAACCTCCTGTCCCAAATGCTCTATGATAAAGGAGTGCCCCATAGAATCAAGCCCAGCTAAAAGTAGCCAGAGATGTTTTTCCAAAATTCTTCATTTAAAATAAGAATAGAATTTGAAAATAGAACTATGTCACATTGTGATGGTGCTTTAAAAGTAACTGGGTATTTCATATTAATCGGTATCAGTAAAAATATGTATCACATTTCTGTTGTGGTTTTATATAGTCCTTTATATTAGTCCCTCCCTCTGTGATTATGTAAGCCCCCATGTTTTTGTCTCTTTTCTTAGCTCTTTTATTAATGAGTTTTTTAATTCTTTAATTAATTGATTAATTAATTAAAATTTGGCCCTGGAAAGAGAGAGAGAAGGAGGGAGGGAGGGAAGGAGGGAGGGAAGGAGGGAGAGAAAGAGGGAGGGAATGGGAGAAATGGAGCTGCCAGGTCTGGGACTCAAACCGTGGTTGACCATGTGGGAGTCCAGCGCCTCAACCACCATGCCACCTGCTGACCCCAGTGAGTTAGTTTTTTTTGATATTTCAAAAACTAGGGATCAAATGGTAATCTAAGTTCTCAACTTTTGTATTTTGAGCTAAGTGCATCTCTTACTAGGATGAGTTTGTGGACTTTTTAAAGAATTCCCTTAAAAGCAAATTATAGTCCATTTAAAATTTTGTCCCATAATTGGTAATATCAGCTTTACAAATCAGTTACTATCCTTCATCATTATGAAACATCCTGAATTAAAAGTTAGGTTCTGAAATAACAATATACAGCCCTTCTTAAGCTGAAGGTAGTGATGATGAGCACAAGTGCCTTGCAGTCCATTACTATGCCTTATCCTTCAGGCTAGAGGATAGCTAGGAAACCGTCACACATGGACTTTAAATCAGGTGAATTAATCCTCCTGACTTGGAAGAATTTCATAATATATTTTTTTAATCCATCGGATCGTGATGGTGCTCCTGCTTTTTGTGTTTAAATTCTTACCTCATTTCTGTTTGTTGGTAGCCTGGCGGGATAAGGCAGGTAACCATGTTGAAGTTAGTATTAAGACCCAAATTATGTTTTCCTTAATGGGGGAACCCTCAGGCTACTCACTCAGTCCGTTGAGGGGATAAAAGAGATGGCTCATTCCCACCCAGTTTTGTTTACAAACGGTGTTGCTCAAATTTAGGTGACTGGCTACTAGGGAAATAAATGAATGTGGAATTGAGGATGGAACAAAGAATTCAATGCTTTACAATAAATGGACTGTATTTGAGAGTTCAAGAGAGGATTGGAGAAAATAACTGAGTATGTAAAAAAATGGTAAGTCTCTGATTGTTCAGTTGAAGGCAAGTAGCTGACTCGATGAAATGACATAATTGATAGTTTTCATCTGTGACCCTGATATCTTAGCCTCTATCTCAGAACTGAGAAATGAGCAGAGTTTATCAGAGAGGATTTCATTGCTGGTATCTTGTGTGTGTGCATGATATTTGGTACACACAGCTCTCCTTACTGATCCTTCACAGGTGTATTATTTACTTTGCCTTCCAGGTGTCCGCAAATATGGTAAAGATTTTCAAGCTATTGCAGATGTAATTGGCAACAAGACTGTTGGCCAAGTGAAGAACTTCTTTGTAAACTACAGGCGTCGGTTTAACTTAGAGGAGGTATTGCAGGAGTGGGAAGCAGAACAAGGAACCCAGGCTTCTAATGGTGATGCTTCTACTTTAGGGGAGGAGACAAAAAGTGCTTCTAATGTGCCATCAGGGAAGAGCACTGATGAAGAAGAGGAGGTGTGTTTGTGTATGGAATTTGAGCTAATATGAGTTGAGGAATCACCATTTTGTGTGGTGTTCTGTAAGGTTAATTTGTCAGAGGACTAGCTAAATGAGCATGAAAGGTTGACAATACACTTACTCAGTGGTGCATCTCTCTTGACTCTTAAGTCAAAATGACATGCTAAGTTCTGATCCTAGAAGAATGGAGAGTGTATTGTTCTTTCATAGTCTTATTATTTCCAGTGTTAAGTTGTTTACTAATAAAGATGCCTGTTTGGTAGCCTCATTCCTTTTTTGTTTTTTTGGGGTTTTTTTGTTTTGTTTAAAATAAAAGAAGCTTGTGCTTCCAATAAACACTGGTGTTATGTTTTTGTTTTATTTTTCTTTGTTTTGTTTTTCCTGTGACAGCCCAAACTATATTATATTAAGTTCATCAGGACTTATATCTCATATGTGTATTTTTGTCTCCTCACCTCTAGGCACAGACTCCACAGGCTCCTCGGACTCTGGGTCCATCACCTCCTGCCCCATCATCCACTCCAACACCAACAGCCCCCATTGCCACTCTGAACCAGCCTCCACCACTTCTTCGTCCAACACTGCCTGCTGCCCCTGCTCTTCACCGGCAGCCTCCTCCACTCCAGCAGCAGGCTCGGTTCATCCAGCCCAGGCCAACTTTAAATCAGCCTCCACCACCTCTCATTCGCCCTGCTAATTCTATGCCTCCCCGTCTAAACCCAAGACCAGTGTTGTCCACAGTTGGTGGTCAACAGCCACCATCACTTATTGGAATCCAGACAGATTCACAGTCCTCACTGCACTAAATATTAAATTGGACAGAGCTGCAGTAACTTTTCACCCCATCATTATACCAATGCTCATCTGACTGATGCAAAAGAGGAAAGAATAATACTTCCTAAATACTGAGGCTGCAAACTAGTTCTGTGGCAGTGGACTGGCATAAGTGGATGTGTAAGAAATTTTTCAGTTCACTAGACTGAAATGTTAAACAACAAAACGCCTCCTGTCAGCCTCCTTTATTGAGTATATAAGTTCACCAATGTGATCTCATAAAAAGGAAAAAAAAAGATTTAAATGTTCTATATACCAAGTTTGTTTTGTTTTATTTTTACTGTATTTATTTTATCAAGGTTCTTTATATTCCTGCCTCTTTGTAGTCAAGGCTCTTTAGTACAGGAATATTGACTTAGAAATTGTGAAAACTCCTTAAGTTTCTTAAGTTAAGGATGTTTGACTTTTTTCTTTAATTTAAAGACACTTTCCTATGTTAGGAGTGTAAGAATGAATAGCCTGCATTTCAGATTTTGACATATTTTCATTTTATGCCTATTTAAGAAATTATAGCCGCATATCCCTTTTTTCAAAAAATGTTGCTTTTTTTTCCTAAAGGAATTTTAATATATTCCTTTAAAAGAAAGCAATTTAATCAATTGCAAAGCAATTATATGAAACCACAAAGAATGTACTGAACCTAGTAACCCTTTAACATTCAGCATAGGGTCCTAATGCAGAGAGTCCTTGTTTAAAGGTCACTGGCCGTCATTTAGCAGTAGTAAGAGGATTGGAATAATAATTTTATATACAAGTGAAGACTTAATTTGTTGAAATATAATATCTTTAAGTTCCTTGAAAATGGAGTTAATTTTTAGTTTAGGTTTTTTTTTTTTTTTTCTAATGTTTCTAAATGCTATCTGCTTTTAACTAGTAGTTGCCTACATTTGGAGACTTTAGGAGAGAATTCTATTTTGTCACTTATGTAGAGATGATGGTTATGGAAGCATTTATTTATAATACCCAATTTATTTTTAGGTTCTGATCTTAAATTTGCCCTTATCCTTATTAATATGGTCTGCATTTAATATCAAGGGTGTTTTCTTGATCAATCACTATTGTGCTATTTGGATACATATGTGTATTTTTTGCAGCCAACCTGTATTTGTGGGTTTGGTTTAGGGTTAAATCATCATTATTTCACAAAATAAATTTAAGAATCTGTTCTGTGTTATCTAAAAATGTTATCAGTATATTGTCACAATTGTGCTAAAAATGCTGAGATCCTTTTTATAAAGAAACAAGATGACTACAAGTCTTCTTAATTTAACACATAATCATTAAACACCTATGAAGAGTATTTTAGGAGTGATAGTATTTCAGCAATGTGTTACTAATATTTTTGATACGGTGATTTCATATTGGAATCATGACTTGTGCAAAGGGTCAGATGACTTAGATTGCTACACTAGTAGAACACAAAGCTAATGTTTGCACATTCACACTCTCATCACGTTTAGAACTGCTTTGCAAAATAGTCCTTCCATTGGCTCCACAGCCTTAACTATAGATTTAAATTCATTGGCTTTAATTTTCAATTTTAGATCACATCCTTCCATAAGGACCCTAAATTCTGACATAATCTGTAAGTCTTTTCCAGGATGGGTCCTTTTCTTTTTATTGGATAATCTTAAAGTTTCTGCCCCCAGCTCATAACCATTTAAAATTCTTAATATTCATATATACTTATTTTTACTTTAAAATCACAGGGGACAGTTATGTATCTTAAAATATCTAAAGCATTTTTTAAAGCACTTAAGATTGTCTTGCATATGTGCATACTATATATCTTTATAGCTTTTATCGTCTTGTCTCTTGTCAGTAGACCTTCAGTACACAGTATGTGGGATATGTCAGTCAAGTTGGTCAGCATCCAACATCTGTCCAGCTGTTCAGTATATTGTGATTCATTTAAAATCTGTTCTGTCCCAGACATGGGCCAAGGTGCTGTATCTGAGGGATGTGCTGTAATTTGATTTACGTACATTAGAGCACACAGTAGAAAAACCTTAGCTTCATTAGTAATAATGACACATGTATATAGTGAGATGTCTTTATTGTGTGCTTTGCATATTTTGTAAATATTTTGCACGTCATTATTTTCCTTTTTTGTTTAAGCAGTATTTGGCCTGGAAGAGTGATATGCTTGCTGCTTAATCAAAGGATTAAAGATTTAAAGATGTCTATGTCTTCTATTTTTATATAATTTCATGTTGTATGATGAATTCAGGACCTCTTCACTGTGAAATTCTGAATATTGATTTTTATAAAAAAGCAAAACCTAGAAATCTTTTAATGACCACTTTAATTTCAGGATTATTTTTGAAAAATCTACACCAAAGTGTTTTTTTTTTTTTCGTTTAAATTACATAACTAAAAATAAATCACACTGTTGATACATCTGGTAAAATCAATGAAAAAATATTTTTTCTGTATGGTTTAATTCCAGTGTAATACAGATGAAAGCAAGGTAAGTTATGATGAAGATTTGTTCTTAAGCTGACAGTTAAGTGACTAAAATTAGAATATTAAATAAAGACAAAAGAATGTAAAATTTTGTACTGTAGGCCTACATTCTTTTAGGAATAGATGTAGCAAACAAGCCAAGAACATGATAGTTATTATTTTCAAAAATATTAAGAATTGTGCAAGTACTCTGGTTAAAGTACCAAGTCTAGTTATTAAATCTTTTGTATTAATTTAATGTTTCCTTCCCCTCCAATTATTAGAAAACTATTACCCATAAATAGTAACTGCTTGGGAACCAGCAGTTAGTGTAATGGCTATGTCGCTGGACTCCCACGTAGTCGACCGCGGTTCGCGTCCTGGACCTGGTGGCTTAAAACTCATGCCGGGCACGTGTGCGTGCGTGCCCAAGATCCCGAGAGGAGAATGGAGGAGAAGGGACTGCGGCGTGACCATCCCCCCTGGGGGGTGATTTCTCGCGTTCTGTCTCTAATGTCTCTGTCTGTCTGGCGAGCACACGCGCCCTATAGCGAAAATCTTCCCCCCCCCAAAAAAATAGTAACTGCTTAATACTGTTAACACTACAGTATCAAGACCTTCTCAAAAAAAAATGTGACCTTGAACCCCAAGAATCTCTCTTTGTGCCTCCCCAAAATAGACGATGAATATATTCTGACTGTAGGACATACGAAAAAAGAAGCTAACGTGTATTAGTTAAAGTATTCATTATAGATTCTTTAATTTATAAGATAACAGGATAAAGGAATACAGAAAGAATTCAAGAATCAAGTTTGAAAACCCATGTTACACTAGAAAATGTCTGCAAGAGTCTCCGTGTTTCCTGACAGCTGATTTATGGGTGTGCATAAGCTGCTTTCTCTTAGGAAAAAATAGACCACATATAACTCACCCCCAACGTTCATCTTGATCGTAACTTTGCCTTAGTGAAGGAATGTTCCGAGGTAATTCATTTAGTAACAATGGAGTTTGGGAGTTAAACCTGAAAAGGAATGCTCCTAGAAGTGTGAGTTTGTGTCCTAAAAGCCATGTGGCCTTACCTGACCTTTGTCTGTTCTCCCATAAGTTCCGTACACTTAAGGAAGAAACGGTGACAACCAGAAATTAATGTTGGAGTGGTATGTTTGCCATTCACCATCACCAGATTTAAAGTAGATTACTGTCTGTTGATAAGGGAATGGATCTTTACAATGTGATAGCTTTTTTTAAAAAAAATTATTTTATTTAACTTTATTTAAATTTGCCGAGAGAGAGAGAGAAAGTGAGAAAGCAAGCTGCCAGGTTTGGCACTCGAACTGCTGTTGGCCATGTGGAAGTCCAGCACCCCTAACCACCATGCTACCTGCTGGCCCCTGTGATAGCTTCTTAGATTTAAGGAGTTCTTAAGCAGAAATTTAAGTGAGCAGGGCCTATAGGGAAGAGATGCTAGCGATATGAAATAGAACTAAGAACAGTTTTCACCATGCAATGACATAAAAGTTAATGTCCCATAATGCATTATATAATGTCTTTTTTTTTATTACTGGTTATTTTAAGGAAGGTCACATTTTTTTCTGTGATAAAATTTATAGTATTTCTTGAGGAATCTGTCTAGCCCAGAATAGCTTTCTTATATGACAGGATTTGGCTGAAAGGGGACTTTGCCCCTAAGACTATGTTTATTGATACACTGGCTCAACATCTTTTGCAAAAGAGGTTGAAAACGAGGGACTGGCAGGTGACATGGTGGTTAGAGTGCTGGAGTCCCATATGACCCAACTGCAGTTTGAATCCTGGACTTGGTGGCTTGCTTACTCACTTTTCCTTTCTTGATGTCTCTCTTGAAGACATCTCACTATATACATGATCAAAATAAAAATAAGATTAAATCATTCTTTTTTAAAAAGTTTGAAAACAATATTATTAATTTAGCTTATTCAAAATAGTTGCTCTTCTTAATATAAGGACTACCAACTTCACTAGCAAGTTACTTAATCTGTCTGAGTCTCAGTTTTCTCACCTGTAAATGGGGGGATATTATACCTACCCAGTGTGTGTTAGAGGTTTTTATAGTATTCTATTTCCAGCTTTTTTCATAAGAAAATGTATACCTTGACAGCTTTTTAAATTTTAAAGTGCAATGCAAAAAAGATGCATTCCAGTTCAAATTGACAACTCAAACATACTTGTTTACTTTTCTTCCCTCCAAATCTTACTGAAATGGCAAGAAATAAAAATATCAACATAATCCTTAGCAGTCCTGGAAAGCCAGAAAAGGTGCTGTCAGCAGATGGAGGAGACAAATAGGACAGAACCTCACAGAATTAAGAAACTGCCCAACTCTCTAAAAGCAAAACAGAAAAAGTGATAGTCTCAGGAAAATGCCATCCTAACCTCAAATTATAGAGGGAGATGTGGAATAGCCCTCAGTGATTCCTGCTACTTACTACTGATGGCCCTCTGTGTGGGCTAAACCTAGTGACTGACTTCTACTCAATAGAATACAATAAAGGTGATGACATGTCACTTCTTTGAGTAGGTTATATAAGATTATGACTTCCATCTTGCTACCAGACTCCATGGCCTTCTCTGCTTACCTTTTTGATGAGAAAGCTGCCATGTTGGAGAGGCCTGTGTGGCAAGGAGCTCAGGCCAGCCTTCTGTCAGTAGTCAGCAAAGAACTCGGGCCCTCAATTCAACAACCTGCCAGGTGCTGAATCCTGCCAACATTCATGTGCACTTGGAAACAGAACTTTTCCTTGCTGGGCCTTCAGATGAGAGCCCAGCCAACACCTGATGGCAGCCTATGAAAGACCATGAAGTGGAGAATTCAGCTAAACTATACCAGTTTCTTACAGAAACTGAGTTTTGAGGGTAATTTGTTATGCAGCAATAGAAAAGAACAATAACACAATAGATAAATATATACCAGGCTGACATTAATCAAAAGAAAGTTGGGGAACTAGCAGTTAGCGTAATGGCTATGTCGCTGGACTCTCACGTAGTCGACCGCGATTCGTGTCCCGGACCCGGTGGCTTAAAACTCACGTCGGGCGCGTGTGCGTGCATGCCCAAGATCCCGAGAAGAGAATGGAGGAGAAGGGATTGCGGCGTGACCATCCCCCCTGGGGGATGATTTCTCGCTTTCTGTCTCTATGTCTCTCTCTGTCTGTCTGGAGAGCGCACGCGCCCTATAGCGAAAACCTCTCAAAAAAAAAAAAAAAAAGAAAGAAAAGAAAGTTGGAGTGAGTATATTAATATAAAAAATTTCAAACAATACCAGGGATAAAGATGATCCTTACAATAATTGTAAAAGGATCAGTTCATCAACAGGATCCCCAAGATGAAGTAGGCAAATCCGCCACTATAGTCAGCAATTTCAACACCCATCTCTCAATAATTGATAGAATATGCAAGTCAAAATTAAAAAGGGAGGCCAGCAGGTGGCACTAGACTCCCACATGGCTGACGGCGGTTTGAATCCCAGACCTGGTGACTTCCTTTCTCTCTCTTTCTCTCTTGTTCTCTCTCTCTTGCTCACTTTGTTCCTCTCTGGTCAAATTAAAATAAATAAATGAAGTTAAATAAAATAATTCTAAAAAAATGAAAAAGAATATAAAAGACTTGAATAATACTATCATCCACCTTTATCTAATTGAAATTTATAGATAATTCCATCCAACAGAAGCAAAGTGCTCTTCATGTGTACTCAGGATATT